TGAAGTCAAACAACAACAAGTGCTGGCGAGGATGTGGGGAAAAGGGTACACTTGTACATTGCTGGTGGGACTGCAAATTGGTGCAGCCAATTTGGAAAGCAGTATGGAGATTTCTTGGAAAGCTGGGAATGGAGCCACCATTTGACCCAGCTATTCCCCTTCTCGGTCTATTCCCTAAAGACCTAAAAAGAGCATGCTACAGGGACACTGCTACATCGATGTTCATAGCAGCACAATTCACAATAGCTAGACTGTGGAACCAACCTAGATGCCCTTCAATGGATGAATGGATAAAAAAAATGTGGCATTTATACACAATGGAGTATTACTCTGCATTAAAAAATGACAAAATCATAGAATTTACAGGGAAATGGATGGCATTAGAGCAGATTATGCTAAGTGAAGCTAGCCAATCCCTAAAAAACAAATGCCAAATGTCTTCTTTGATATAAGGAGAGTAACTAAGAACAGAGTAGGGACGAAGAGCATGAGAAGAAGATTAACATTAAACAGGGATGAGAGGTGGGAGGGAAAGGGAGAGAGAAGGGAAAATGCATGGAAATGGAAGGAGACCCTCAGAGTTATACAAAAGTACATACAAGAGGAAGTGAGGGGAAGGGGAAAAATAATACAAGGGGGACAAACGAATGTCAGTAGAGGGGGCAGAGAGAGAAGAGGGGAGGGGAGGGGAGGGGAGGGGTGATAGTAGAGGATAGGAAAGGCAGCAGAATACAACAGACACTAGTATGGCAATATGTAAATCAATGGATGTGTAACTGATGTGATTCTGCAATCTGTATATGGGGTAAAAATGGGAGCTCATAACCCACTTGAATCAAATTGTGAAATATGATATATCAAGAACTATGTAATGTTTTGAACAGCCAACAATAAAAAATTAAAAAAAAAAAAAAAAAAAAGCATCCCTGAGTTCAATCCCCCGTACTTACAAAAAAAAAAAACTGTCCCCCTTTAAATTCATTACTACTGGTTTAGGAAAACAAGTCACACCCCTGGTTATAAATTGCAAAGTTTTTGTGTCACATGTGTCCTGAACTTTCTTACTAACAGGTTTTCAGTTATTCTGTAAATGAGGAAAAATATAAGCTACTTAAAATCAAATAAAGAAATCAAAACAGGGGCTGGGAATGTGGTTCAGTGGCACAGTGCTTGCCTCACACATATGAGGCACTGGGGTCAATCCTCATCACCACATAGGAATAAATAAATAAAATAAAGGTATTGTGTCCATCTACAACTAAAATTTAAAAAAAAAAAAAACAATAAAATTTGACAATAGTATTGTCAAAAATATTTGACAATAAAAATATTTTCAAATATATCCAAAGAAAAATTAGAAAGTAAATGACTCAAAGAATTTTCAAATAGTACATGTAAGAAGTTCATTTATGTCATCTAGCTATCAGGAAAAGAAAGAATGATTCAAAAAATTGCTAAAACAAATGATTAGTAATGTAGAAAAATTTAAATTAGATTCTTAATTTAAACCATATGATAATATAAACACCACAAAAAGCAAAAAAAAAAAAATTAAAGTTAAAACAAAACTTTGAAAATTCAGAAAGATGACTCCTAACAACATTTTTATAATAATGAAAAATTTGAAAATAACTCAAATATCATTTTAATTAACTGTTAAGTAAATTTTAGAAATTATGTACTATCTTCTAATTTATTATCTAGATCTTCCACACTAGAATTCAAGCTCCACAAAAACAGAAAATTTTTTTCCATTTTCTTCATTGATGTGTTCTAAGAGCCTATGGCTGGCATGGAACAGCACTCAAGTCAATCTCTGCCCAAGAAACTGTCCATCCACAGGGGAATGAATATAATGTAGTACGTTCGTATGTTTGAATACTACTACAGATAAATTACATCACTCTTAGAAATGTAATACTGAATGAAAAAGCAAGCTTCAGAGAAATACAAACGGTACAAAATGTAAACCAAAAAAAAAATGTAGTGTTTAAGATAGAGGTTTTCTAACATTATACCTGAATGGGAACAATTTGGGCTTTATCTTAGAAATCACAAAAATTGTGAAAATATATTTATTATAAAACTCAGTCTCTTACTTTAATAAACACTACTTGGTGATTATTTAAAAGAGAAAAACAACTTCCATATTAACCAACTTGCAAAGAAAGAACAGAAATGCAAATACAAAATAAAACATTCAATGGTGGTAAAGCCAAATGTTACCTATAAGTTCAGGTGGATTTCTTTCATTAAACCGCTCACACAAACGAATGAAAGTCTCAGTATTCTCAGTCGTAGGGCATTCACCATGTCTAATAATACAAGGGGAAAACATTTTTTTTTTTTTTTAGAAAAGAACAATTTACAAATTTCAATGAAAAGTTTCAATTTAAAGACTCTTAAAACATAACTTACCCTTTACACTGAAGTTTTATATATTTGATTCCTTCTTTTTCTATGTCATTTCTGTCATAGAATCTTGAAGTATTTGTCAGGTCTACCAACAAGCCCATTTTAACCTTAAAAAACAAAAAAGCAGATTTACTAGTAACTGAACCAAAACAAGTTAGCTAGCCAGGCCCTAAGCAATTTAGCAAGGCCCTAAGCAACCTGTCTCAAAAAAAAAGCAACCCTGTACTAAAATAAAAAATAAAAAAGGGCTGGGGATGTGCTCTGTGGTTAAGCATCCCCAGGTTCAATCCCCAGTAACAAAAATAAATAAATAAATAAACAAGTTGATTAAATGGCAGTACTACAGTTCATCCATCCACATTGAGGGAGACTTTTTGTTCACTCTGCCACTGAACAATTTACACTGATAGTACTACTTGGCTAAGTGTTTTTCAAGACAGAACATAGCAGGCACTCAATGAGATAAATTAACCCCTAACTAATGAAGGTAGAGGAACATAAGCTAAACAGACTCCACTCTGAACACCACAATAGTTTACCCAAAAAAGAAAACACTGGCACCAGGTGTGGTGGCACACACCTGTAATCCCAGCAGCTTGGGAGGCTGAGACAGAAGGATTGTGAGTTCAAAGCCAAACTCAGCAAAAAGTGAGGTGCTAAGCAACTCAGTGAGACCTTGTCTCTAAATAGAATACAAAATAGGGCTGGGGATGTGGCTCAGTGGTCGAGTGCACCTGAGTTCAATCCCTGGTACAAAAAAAAAAAAAAAGAAAAGAAAAGACTGGCATAGTTTTCTGCATCTATCTGTGCACCTGTGATTTATTAGACAAGAGACTGGAGCAGGAAAAGCATTCGTCTGAAATATGCCACAGATCTAGCTCCAGGCACACGTCACCCCAGCATTCCAAGAAACCACCACCAATCATTCTGTTCCTATCTATTGAATATACCATACTATATCCCATACATAAAATATTAGACAAGTCATTTATACCATATTTATGGCTTGTGCATTCCCCTATTAATAACCTTTCTATCTATATTCTGAAAATACACTATAAATCCTAAAGTTATACTCTTCAAAAAGATGCAAGGTTAAATAAAAAGAGACTTTCAGGCAAGTATAAGAAAACAATTTCCCTCCTCCCTTCCTGGATATCATTAATAAAAAAAAAAAAAAAGTAATAGTTTAAAAAAAGAACAAAAAATAAATAAATAAAACCCAAGCCTCATTTTCAGTGGATATAAAAGGCACATAAAATCTACACATTCAAGACAATGTCTAAGATCTGCCAAAAAAAAATTAAGAGCACTGCAGAAGCTTTATGAGAAGGAGGAAAAAATAAGCAGACCCAGGAGAGGCAGAGTTTAGCAAATACCAACAAAAATACATTTCCTGGGCTGGGGTTGTAGCTCAGTGGTAGAGCACTTCCCTAGCACGCATGAGGCACTGGGTTCAATCCCCAGCACCACATAAAAATAAACAAATAAATAAAGATATTGTGTCCATCTACAACTAAAAAATACTTTTTTAAAAAAATGCATTTCCTATAAAAGCTCACCCAAAATGATAGAACTGTCTCTCATTTACACAAAAGCCAAGGAATATGGAGAAGACCAGGAAGACTATAGTGAAGCAGAAGGAGAGAAGAGAGAAAAGGCAATGAAGACACACAAAATAGTAAAAAAGACCCAGTGCCAATAAATCTCTTAAAATGCCAGCACAAACACACTCCATCAAGGAACCATTCATGAAAATCAATCAGCAAGGGACTAATTAAATTATGGTACATACTTTAGAGGAATAATATAATACTATTTTTAAAAGGATGTTTGTTGTATATTAATATATGCAGATCTTTCAAATATATTAAGTTTAAAACTCAGGCATGGTTGCATACAACTTTAGTCCCAGCTACTAAAAAAGTTGAAGACAAGGGTCACTTGAGCTCACAATTCAAGACCGACCTAGGCAACACAGCAAGTCCCTATAACAAAAACAAAAAAAGCAAGATTCAGAACAACACATACGGTATGCTACTTTGAGTCTAAAGCGGAAAAAAATAATAATCTCTATTCCTGTTGCTTAAATATGCATAAGGAAAGAATACATTAAAAACTTAGGACCTATGGAAGTTGTAGTGAGAGACTAGACAGAGAGCAAAAGAGGGGAGATTTCACAATCTCAACTTTTTAAACTTGGATTTTGAAACAAGTGAACATATTATCTGTTTAAAAATCAGAGTAGAATCACATCTTAGGCAGTTAAATTCTAAAACAACTGTATATAGTAATAAAGTATATATAGTTAAAATTCCCTTGTAAATCCCTTAAATAACCAATAACAGTACACACAGCCTCATTTGTGCATCTCATTGGAGATTTAATCTCACCTCTCAACAAATTTTTTACACCAAATTTTTATTTCTGGGTTGGAACAAAATTCATAAATTCTTCTGCTGAGCACTATCTGAAATAGCTGACTTGTGTTCAAGGACCAGTGGTATGAAAATTTCTTAACTATAATCACAACCAGCCTAGCAAGACAATCTAAGAAATGCATGCCTGAACTGAGCCCAAATAAAAGAACAGTTAATTCACATCTCTTCTAAATTCTGTTAGACATATACTCTAGGGAAAAAAAAAAAAAAAAGACAAGAGAAATAATCTTCACTTATTAAATTATCTTTTCTCTTTGTTTATTCTGCTTTTATTGAGAAACAATTATTGGACTTGCCTAATAAAGACTAGTCTACATAATGATTAGACTCCATTGTTACAGGAGAAAAAAAATGGCAAAATCATTTAAATTCCACACATAACAAAATAGACAAAAATGTACACTTCTAAAATGCATACTCTCAGCTCTAATAATGAACTATATTTGTTGTTGTTGTTGTTGTTGTTGAGTTTTTTGTTTTGTTTTGTTTGTTATGTTGCCCAGGCTGGCTTTGAACTCCTAGGCTTAAGTGATCCTCCTGCCTCAAACTCCACCATAGGGAAACTACAGGCATGTACCACCATAGCCATAGTTAACTCTACTGCTTTCTTCGGAGACTATATATTGCTAGACTTAAAGATTTACATACCATAATACAGCTTCTCAGTGAGCTAGATTTAGAACTCAAGTTGTCAGTTACCAGGTTCAAAGTAAAAACAAATGTGGTAATCAGGCAGGAAAATGTAAACTGTTTAACTACACAGGAATATTTTAGCCAACAAAACAAACTGTTAACATACCTTAACTCCCACAAAACCTCTGTATATGTATATGTATCAATAGGTGTGTGATAAGTTTGTGCAAATAATGGTTTATGTTAATATGTTTGAATGGTTTATGTGTATATATGCACATATTACATACACATATTTTCATAATAGATAATACCAATTCATAAGGAAATGTCTACCTCAGAGAGCTGTTACAAGATTTAAAAGAAGTTCTTACTCTATGCCAATTACTATTCTACAGTAATTTACATGTATCAATTTTTTTAAAAGATGCAGAAACTGAAGTATGAAGAGATCATGTAACTTGCTTACAAAGCTTTTAAACAGCAAACCCAGGTTACCTGCTTGTAAGCCCAAGGCCCTAGCACACTACCTAGAAAATATTAAAATATTAACACTACATAAAACGTTAGGTAAGATTTATAATGATTATTAATAATGAAAATTAAAATGAAACTATATAAGTAATCAAAAATAAAAGATATAAACAAATGAGTCGAATTTACCCTGAGGAAAGGGATGAATAACAGGTTTTCAAAAATCTAAGTGGTTACTTTTCTATCCCATATGGGCATTGCACATACTAGACATTAATATTCATTCAGTGTACTAATATAGCATACAGCAATAAGATTACCAGGAGTATAAAATATAATAGTAACAAAGACGATGCTAAGGGTTGAATCATGTCCTATAAAAAGATGTGGTCGAAGTCATAATCCCAGTACATGAGAATGACCCACTTGGAAATGGGGTAACTGGGTGTTGGCAGTTACCAACTGGCAGTTACCAAGTTAAGATGATATCATAGGGTAGGCTCTAATCAAATACCTTATTTAAAAAAAGGGGGGAAATCTGGACTGGGGCTGTAGCTCAGTGGTAGACGGTTGCCTAGCACATGTGAGGCACTGGGTTCTAGCCTCAGCACCACATAAAAATAAATAAATAAAATAAAGGCATTGTGTTCATCTACAACTAAAAACATATCTATGGAAAATATACATATGTGGGAAATTGGAACCCAGAGACATTCAGGTGAACTTATATGATCACAGAGACAGACATTAAAATGATAGAGGTACAAGCCAAGGAATACCAAGGACTGCAGATAACTGCCAGAAGCTAGAAGAGGCATGGAAAAAATTCTCCCTCCAACCCTCCAGAAGGAATCAACCTTGCTAACACCTCAATTTCAAACTTCTAGCTTCCAGAATTATGATAAACTAAATACCTTTTGCTTTAAGCTGCCTAGTTTGTGGTAATTTGTCACGGCAGCCCTGAGAAACTAATGCAACTGGTATTATGAAAGAATAATGTGAAAAAACAAAAAGTTTCATTTACTCTAAAAAAACAAAAGCTATGCTGGGTGAGATGGCACATGCCTATAATCCCAACGGCTCAGGAGGCTGAGACAGGAGGATCTTGAGTTCAAAGCCAGCCTCAGCAACAAGGTACTAATAAGCAATTCAATGTGACCCTGTCTCTAAATAAAATACAAAATGGGGTTGGGGAGGTGGCTCAGTGGTTGAGTGCCCCTGAGTTCAATCCCCAGTACCCAAAAAAAAAAGCTACCTGATGTACACATTAAATGGTACAGTCACTCTGGAAAACAGTTTAGTACTGTTTTGTAAAACTAAACATGCAGGGCTGGGGTTGTGGCTCAGCGGTAGAGTGCTTGCCTAGCACATTCGAGGCCCTGGGTTCGATCATCAGCACCACATACAAATAAATCAAGGTGTTGTGTCTGATTACAACTAAAAATTTAAAAAAAAAAAAAAAGAAAGAAAGAAAAAAAAAAAAAAACTAAACATGCATTATCCTATGACCCAGCAATCATACTTTTAGGCATTTATCCCAGAAAAATTAATACTTAGGTTCACACAAAAAGCTCAATAGCAGCTTTATTCACAATCCCCCCAACTGGGAACAACCCAAATGTTCTTCAGGAGGACAACAGTTAAACTGTGGTATATCCATACAATTTAATACTACTCAACAATGAAAAGGAACAAACTTTTTGTTAATACATGCAACAACTTGGACAGAACTTAAGAGGATTATTCCTAGCGAAAAAAGGTTACATACATACCTTTATACAATATTTATGAAATATTCCCAAAGTGACAAAATTACAGAGACGGAGAATGGATTAGCAGCTGCCAATGTACCTGGATAGGGGTAGGATGAGGATGTGACTATAAAAGGATACTTTTTTCTTTTATAAAAAGGTAACATGAAGGAGTTCCTCTGTGGAGATGGAATAGTTCTGTAACCATCACCAAGAATTTACATAGAGAATCAAATTTTATAGAATAATACACATGTACATATACAAACATATGAATGTATATAAAAACTAAATGAAATCTGTAAATAATACTGTACCAATGTCAATTTCCTGTTTTTGATATTATACTACCATTATATGTCACCATTAGGAGAAACTGGAAGAGGAGTCACAGAACTTCTATACATAATTTTTGCAACTTCCTCTATTGATCACCTCAAAATAAAACGTTTGCTTTTAAAAAGCCACCTAAAGAACAAAAGAGGGATAAAAATATATTAATTCAGTAGCAAAATAAGTTTTGCTTCTTACCTTTAGGCTCTTTAGATAATTTGAGAGCATACTGGGATGGAATCGATTTTCTTCAGCAACTTGACTATCATATCTTGGTCCCAACATTGTCTTCAGAGGTAAAAATCTTCCTAAACAACATTAAGATGGGTAAAAACTTTCATTAATGATAATGTTTCAGACTAAACCCCTATAATTAGGAATTCTCAAATCATCTTCTTAAACCATGGTAAATGGAAAAGTAATCTGTAAATACAATTATTCATGAATACTCTCAATCTAAATGATACTTTTTAAAAAGTGCTGCCTTGAATTTTTGAGGAAAAAATTAATTCTAGAAATTGAGAGTTATGTAAGAGCAAAAGAAAAATCAACAGTGAATCAAATTTCCATACTCTTCCGTGCTAAACCACCATCATTACAAAGACAGGATGTTGCTTAAGTGGTAGAGTTCTTGCCTAGCATGCATGAAGTCCTGGGTTTGATCTCTAGCACTGCAGTGAGGAGTAGGGGAAACCCACTCTTAATAGACATGAGACTAGAAAATTTGAGGATGAAGTAAATTAAATCAATTCTTTAAATTCCCTGACCACATGACTCTTAATATGAGGCTGAAAGTTTCTTTATCTTATGGACTTTATCCTATATCTCAGGATAAAGATCATGCTAGGATATGCTATTGTGGTAAGAGGTTGGTAACAAATATTGCTCTCCAAAGAACTATAAGTGAGTATAACCTCAGCAAAAAGATTGACCTTTATTTTCTTCATTATCATAGTACAAGCATAGAAGTCACCTTGTATAATTCTATGTATGTGTGTGTGTGTGTGTATATATACATATATATATAATATATATGTATACACACACACACATATATATATATATATATATATATATATCCTATTTAACTGACTTATATTTTCAAACAAAAATTCAATAAAAATAATACCCAGGTTGTGGCTCAGTGGTAGAGCACTTGCCTAGCATGTGTGAGGCACTGGGTTCGATTCTCAACACCACATAAAAAATAAATAAAATAAAGGCATTGTGTCCATCTATAACTAATAAAAATATTTTTAAAAAAATAAAATAAAAAGAATACCCAAAAATAATATCTAAGTGAGGGGCTGAGGTTGTGGCTCAGTGGTAGAACACTCGTCTAGCATGTGCACTGGGATCAATTCTCGGCACCACATATAAATAAATTATATAAATCAAGGTCCATCAAGAAAAAAAAAATAATATCTAAGTGAAATCTTAACATCTATCCAGAAGCTTTAAACCTAAATTTCATGAAAAGATTTTTTTTAATTTTCTTTTCTACAAAACCATTTAAAAACCTCTACATTGCTAAATCCAATGGTCAAGTCTCAGTTCTCACTCTACTTAAGCTTTAAGCAATATAAAACAACTGATCAGTTTTTGATTAAAGAGTTCTTGAATCACTTTCTTCAGATTCCAGGGGAATATGTCTTCCTCATTTTCCTTCTACCTCTATGGCCCTGCCTTCTCAGCCTCTTCTATTGGCTCCTCCTTATCTTCTTGACATCTCCCTCTGGTTTCTTTGTTTGTTGTGGTACTGGCGGTGCTCTTCCACTGAGCAACAACCCTTTTTATTTTTTTATTTTTTTATTCTGAGACAAGGGTCTCATTAAATTGCTGAAGGCCTTGCTAAGTTGCTGAAGTTAGCCTGGAACTTGTGATCCTCCTACCTCAGACTCCCAAATTGCTGGGATTACAAGCTCGTGCCACTCTGTCCAATATCCACCCCTAACCCCTCTATGCTTTCTGTCTCAGGCTTAGTCCTTGACCTTTCTATTCTTTGGTGTCTAACCCAGTCTCATGAGGTTTTTGAGTTGTTTTGTTTGTTTGCTTGTATGTTTGTTGTTTGTTTTGGCAGCCCTAAGGACTGAACCCAGGGCCTCTTGCATGATAGGCAAATGCTCTAAACTGAGCTATATTCCCCCAGCCTTAGTCTCATGGCTTTAAAAGCCATCAATGTGCTGATGAATTACAAATTTATATCTCCACTCAAAACCTCTCCCTTGATTCTAGACTCAGATATCAAACTGCCCATCTGATTTAGTCAGTTTAGCAAACATTTCAGATTTGATATCCAAATATAATTTCTCAATACTCAAATTCTAAAACCTATTCTTTCTCATGGTCTTCCCCATCTCAGCAATAGTACAATCATTCTTTTAATAACAAGACAAAACTTTGTGCGTTATCCTCTACTCCTGTGCTCTCATACCCCCAACCATCCATCAGCAAATCTGTCAGATCAACTTCAAGAATGTGACCATTTCTCATCAACTCCACTGTCATCTCACCTAGACAATTATACATCATTTGATTTTTTGTTTTGCTTTAGTTTTTTGGTTTTGCTTTGTTTTGGTGGGGGGGCGGGGGGGTACCAGGGATTGAATTTGGGCATTCAACTACTGAGCCACATGCCCATCCTTTGTATTTTATTTATAGACAGTGTCTCATTGAATTGCTTAGCACCTTGCCATTGCTGAATCTGGCTTTGAACTTGCAATTCTCCTGCCTCAGCTTCCCAAGCTGCTGGGATTACAGTCATTAACAGACAGTCAATAAGTACCCTCTAGGGGGCTGGGGATGTGGCTCAAGCGGTAGCACGCTCGCCTGGCATGCGTGCAGCCCGGGTTCGATCCTCAGCACCACGTTACAAACGAAGATATTGTGTCCGCCGAAAACTAAAAAATAAATATTAAAATTCTCTCTTTCTCTTTAAAAAAAAAAAGTATCCTTTATGTAACAGGATTTGTTCCAGGTGTGTAAAATACATTAGTGAAAAGAAAAACAGAAAATTGCCTGCCGTCATATCATTTAAATTTGATTAGGAATAGATACGCCATTAATGATAGACTAATAAATAATATGTTAAAAAATTCATCCACTTAGACCTTATTTCCTTTTCATTATTGCTTCACAGGTTTAATGCTATTTCCACCAGCTCCTTTAGACTTCACTTTTCTTCTTATCCCATGTATGAGTCCATACCTGATATTTTCAGTTCCCTGTAAATACCCTTAACTCCTTACTCTGCCCCCATGACTCAGTCAATGAACTCCATCACTGACTTCTGTGTGCCTACACCTCACAGCTGAGACTTTCTAGAGAAATCTCAGCACAAATGATGAGTGATACTATAAATCATAATAACCAATCCAAAATGCAATCCCACCACATACTAACTACAAGGTTAAATAACTGTATCATACCTTTTCCTCCTTAATAATATAGCAAGCTTCCCCACCTTGTTTTTTTTCAATAGTTTTACTGGTACAATATATTTATATATAATAGTAGAATTTGTTGTTAAATATTTGTACACACATATAACAACATAATTTGGTCAATATATGAGAGAAAACACGCAAACCTTGACTTTCTGAGTTTGGCTGATTTCACTTAACATAACGCTCTCAAGTTAGATCCATTTTCCTGAAAATGATATAGTTTCATTCTTCTTTATGGCTGAATAAAACTCCATTTTGTGTATATATAACACATTTTCTTTATCCATTGATGGACATCTAGGCTGGTTCTATAATTTAGTTATTGTGATTGTGATGGTATAAATATGGGTATGCATATGTCATTACAGTATGACAACTTTAATTTTTAGCATAAATAAGAGTGGTACAGCTAGGTCACATGGTGGTTCTATTTCTAGTCTTTTGAGGAACATCCTGCTAGGTTAAACACTAATCTGTGTCTAGGAAAGCTTGCAGTAAAATAAGGATTCTAAGAATCGGGTAAGGAGGGAAATGAAGAGGGGCCACTTCCCTTATCACCAATGGGTAAGAGAGGATCTGAAGAGAGAGACCCTGGTTTAAAATAAAGGTGTGGCCACAACATCTGAAGAAATCCACCTACGTAATGGGAATGCAACCTATACTATATATTCCCCCTACTTGCAGGCAATGGTACAGCGTGACCCTCCACAACCAAGGAATAAATAATAAAATGTTCAAAACCTCTCCATTGCTGGGCATGGAAGCCCATGACTGTAATCCCAGTAGCTAGGAAGGCTGAGGCAAAAGGATTGCCAAGTTCCAGGCCTGCTTCAACAACTTAGAGAGGCCCTAAAAAATTTAGTGAGACCCTGTCTCAAAACAACAAAAAGGGCTAGGGATGTGGCTCAGTGGTTAAGTGCCCCTGAGTCCAATTCCTGGTACCCAAAAACAAAATAAAACAAAACCTCTCTGTTCAGTCCTCTAAGTTCTTTTGGGGGGATTGGAAAACATGCTGGGGCATTTGTAGTCCTAGGATTGAAGATCTCCAAACTGATTTCCATAGTGGCTCTACTAATTTACAATCCCACCAAGAATGTAAAAGTGTACTTTTTTCCCACCACATCCTCTCCAGAATTTATTATCATTTGTATTCTTGATGGCTTTTCCATTCTAACTAGAGATGAAATCTCTGTGCAGTTTTGACTTGCATTTCCCTAACTACTAGTAATGTTCAACATTTTTCATATTTGTTGGCCATATTTTATGGAGGTTTTTTTTTGTTGTTGTGTTGTTTTGTTTCTGTTTGTACCAGTGAGTGAACCCAGTGGCACTTAACCACTGAAACAGAGTCTTTTTTTTTTTTTTAATTTTGAGACAGGGTCTCATTAAGTTGCTGAAGCAGGCTTAGAACTTCAATTCTTTGTGCCTCAGCCTCTTAAACTGGTGAGATTACAGGCATGCCCCACCACACCAGACTCTTTTAAGAGTCTGTCTAGTGATTCGCCCATTTATTGAGTTATTTGGGTTTTGGGTAAGTTTTTAGAATTCCATTATATAGTTTGTATATTAATCCTCTGTCAGAAGCGTAGCTAGCAAAGATTTCCTCCCATTCTGTAGATTCTCCCTTCACATTTTCAATTGTTTCCTTTGCTGTACAGAATTTTTTAATGATGCCATCCCATTTGTGAATCCTTGGTATTGTTTCCTGAGCTTTAGGGGTCTTACTTGAGGAAATTGTTGCCTGCATCTATAATATGCTAGGGTGTTTACCCTTCATTTTCCTCTAGCAGTTGCCAAGTTTCTGGTCTAATTCATAAGTCTTTGACCCATTTTGAATTGACTTTTGTGCATGGTGAAAGATA